GCCAAGATCAAGTCCATTAAGTCCAATATTAGCTCATATATGTTCAATATTAGTCCATAAATTCCTCTTCAGACTCACGCAGCACGTGCAATAATGCCGAATGCAGAAAGATCACAGGCCAGTGGGTTGAAAGTCTTGTGTACCCATTGCCAGTGGGAGCATCTCAGCACTGACTCCTACAGCTCTCTGACTGTCTCCTCCACAGGAAGGCGAAGCAAAGAAAGAGAGGGTGGCCCACCTCCAGGGAGAGAGAGAAAGTCCCCAGAATGTCCATGAGAAGGTCATGCCCACCAGGAGACATCAATCAGGCTGTGACCTGATTGACAGGCTAAACTCCACCCCTTCACTCCACATGTCAATTTGATATGAAATTATATAACTACCTCAGATGTGCAAATATAGCTTTAGGGGCAAAAAAAGACCTTCATCTGATGGCTTCCACTTTTTCAATGGCATAAGATATAACTGAGGGAAGATGAAAGGACAATCAGAGATGCGGAATATTTGTGTATTGAGAAGATACAAAATAATTATATGATAGAATAGGAAAGTGACCATATTGAGAGAGAGAAGTATCAGTAATTCCCAGACTTCTCAATGCTCACTGAGGATTGCTTGCTTTGGAAATGTGGTCAACAAGTACTTCTAAAAGCTCTTCCTGGATTGTAACTAAGCACACTGAGCCAAAAATCATATCTTGAACACAGTTTGGAATCTTTTTCTCAAGATACTTCCTTAAACTGGTCTTAATATTAAGTTCAACTGCTGACATTTCTTCTTTTCACAACTTTATGAAATCTTTGAACAATGAACACACATACATATAAAAACAAAAAACATGGAGAGCCAGATGACCAGAGAGATCAAACAAAGAGATAAATGGACAAAAAGACAGACAAACCCAGAAACAGATGAAAGCTACACGGGCCATTCTTATCACAAGGTAGGGAATTGGTGAGCAGAGTGGATGGGGTAGTGATACAGCTGGGCCTTAGTGATACAACTGATCAAAAAATTTCAGGGTAATTGTGACTGCTGATCTCTTAATAGCAGTATATGCGTAATATTTATGTTCTCTCATCTTTGTTTTCTATAATAGAAATTATTACTTATGTAGTTAAAATATGAGTCTAAGTTTGAATTCTCAAGAAATTTGAGTTATTTATTTTTTAGACTGCCATTTATTTTCACCAATAATATTTTAAATTTTATTGGCATATAATCCACATACCATGTAATTCAATGATTTAAATCTATTAAAAAGAGTTGTGCAATCATTACCACAATCTATTTTAGAACATTTTCTTCATTCTTGTAACCATTATTAGCTCTCCATGACCCCACCCCCAGCCCCGGCAGCCTCCCCTGCCACAACCCTATGGAGCTATTACTCTACATGCTGTCTCCTTCTTCATATAAAAAGCATCGTACAAAACATCCAACAAGGACAACAAAATAAAACACATAAAAATCTCATTCCAAGAGAACACAGAAAAGAGAAACTAGAACAAATTTAAAATGGGGCCAAAGGGAAAACAAAGCATAAGATGTGCTGGTGGCCTAGTGGTTACAAGTTGGGTTGGGAACCTCAAGCTCACCAGTTCAAAACCACCAGGCCCTCCATGGGAGAAAGAGCTTTCTACTCCCACAAATAATTATAGTTTCACAAACACACTGGGGCAGTTCTATCCTGTCCTATATGGCAGCTCTGAGTCAGCATCAACTCAATGGCAGTGAGTTTGGTTTTGGTTTTAAATATCTGTAGTAATCTACTTTTCAGTGCACTGTCTAAGGGCAAGACTATTTATATCCCTAGTGAATAGTCTATGGACATTCAACAGAGGCTTAAACTATGTGGGAACTCTGCAAACAGATTTTGGGTTTTCACTGTATTCCACAGCTTTCTGCAAACCAAGTGCTTAGAATTTAAGTTCTACTACAAATCTTTCCTCTGATCTTGGATCACACAAACTGGT